ATCCTATAGCTTCTGAATCTCTGGCCTTGATGGTAAAACGCTGAGTAATATTCGATGAGTGGCGTAAACAGGAAGCCTCTGGGATTAATCGGGGTTGAGAAGAAGAACTGGACAGATGGGAAAGATAGGTTTCCAAATGGGTACCTAAGACTGTTGACAAAATATCGTAAATTGGTTCTCGTAGCTCGGGTGAATTGAATTCCATTCCACTGCCATTTCACAAGCACTGATGACGTCACCTCAGCTGGTGATGAAACAAACAAACAAATTGCCAAGCTCAATGAACAGGCGAAATGGAAGCTAAGACTATGTCTGGAGGTCTGTTCGTCGAAATTCCTACCTCCTAAGGAACAGGAAAAAACACCTAGCAGTGTGGGATTTGCGGTGGCGCAGTGGTTTAGTCGCTGTCACCGATGTGCTTTGGACCCTGTTGTCCGAGATTCGAGCCCCGCCACCGCTACCCAACTTTGGTGGCAGGCAGCTTTGCTGTGGTCCTGTTCACTAACACGCATAACCTAGTAAGTTCACCACTCCAATTCCTAGGGGTTTGGCTACCGGTTTCCATCACTGGACAGCAGGTCTTTGTGACTATGAGGTTCGTTCCATCTGTCGTTCATCACACAAATGTGTAATAAAAAAAGAATCACGAACGAAACGTTGTTGTTTGCGAAATTTTCCCCTTCATTTTCCATTTTCACTGATGTCCATGTAGATATGTATGTCCGTGCGTTCGCTCATTGCTTGTGGTAATAGTCATCTTTATTTATTCTCCAAAAGATCGCTCTGTGTAAATGCCGCGCGTGGAGTACATCGGCCGCCGTTCAGAACACTTCTTTGGAAGGTATCTGTCCGAAATAGTTCGAAATTTGAAGAACCGTGGTGAGGGCCGTGTTGTAGTCAAAGAAGCGGAAGTTACTAAATATCATGAGCCTTGCTTTTATGTGATTAAACGTGCAATACCATTAATGTCGGATAAAGTAAGTATTTTCTGAAGAAGATTATATTCGTTGCATAGTTTGTTTTTGGCGTTATACCTTCACGGTTAGAAAATCGTTTTATTCTGGTATTGGCGATGTTGGTAGTCGCTGCTATTGTTCGGCTTCAGGATGAGGTATAAGGTTCCAATTCCTCGACCGCCACATGACCTTGGTTTTTCATATCCTCATTGCTGTCTGGATCAATACCACACCCATCCTTTTAGGGCATTAGGAAGGTTAGAGATTTTAGCACAATAAGTTGGTGGCTATCCCGGCCAAGGGGCTCAAACGCCTCAAGCTTCATCAAGACTTAACGAGCAGTTATTCTTCCTTATGCGAGGCCCGTATAGACTAGATTAGAGGAGTACGGCAGCCTCCAAAAGCCTCAGTATAGTCGGGGTTGCGCCTAATCACCCTTCCCTTGAACCTCGCGAAATGCCTTACTCAGTGCCTTCTCGTGGCAGAGTTGTTTTCGCACCAAAGTGAGAGATAAAAAACGATATGCGGGGCTATAACTGGTTTGGAGGACCACTGGTAGTTCACCTAGGGGAGCTAGCCAAAAACCCTGATTCTAAACCGACCAAGAGAAAGCGTACGAACCACACACCTTCCTCTTTGTGGTAATGGTCTCTGACTCGATTGGGCATCGAGGTGTATCGGGCACCTTGGACGTTTGACCCCGTCCAAGGGGGCGTATAATCCGATGAACTGGACGCCCCCCCCCAATGGATTGCAGTTTTCGCACACCGTCCAGCTGCCTTTCGGGTCCGGCTTTGGCTAACTAAAGGCTCTGTTTGTGAATTCCTCAAAAGAATTCACCTGCCTTGGTGAAAAAAGTAAACCAGTTTACGGAAGACAGCTTTTATTAGGGGAAAGTTTCGTAGTTTTTCAGTGTCATAATAATTTGTTTTTTGCATGGCTGTTGAATATTCCCCTCAGGTTTCCTAATAAAAGTCATATGGGGCTCTGGTTTGGGGGTGGTGCCAATGATCAAATGTAGTTTTCTTACATTTTACAACAAGTATTCATGCATGGTTGGCCTTAGGGGATATCACATACCGGTTTGATTTTTTGAGCGAAAAACCCTCCTGTAATTCCCACCACCCCACCAACACTGGACAACCATTCGAAACGCAATGCAGTCAGCCGGTTTACACAATTGTGGCTTAGCCCGCCGAGCTGTAAATCACTGAGTCTCCTCCAACTCTCTCAGACTCCTCAACGCGCATCGGGCAATCCCGGCAGACCGCGAGTACAATGAACAGTGCCCTCCCTGAAGCGTGAACTCAAAGAGTCTGAGAGACGACCGAGAGGCCTGGTGGACGCTACGTGCAAAGGAGATGGAATCAGCGGCTAGGTGTGGAAACACCCGGCAACTGTTCCAGTTCATCCGTGCTACAGGCCCTAAAACAATTGTTGTTTGTAGTTTCAAGTGATGAATAACTATCGTTTCCAAAGATCACAAAATTCGTGAAATTCGAGGTCTCGAAATGACTCCAAACGCTTTGGGTGCGTCTGCATGATGACCGGCATCTAGCAAATGTCGGGCAATTGCACTAGCTGGTAGGTTCCATCCGCGAAAACCAGTGTTTCTTTTTTATTACACACGAAGCGTTTTACAACAAAAGGGGTAAACCTCATAATCAGTGATATACTGTAAGGGGGAGGAATGCGCGGTAACATTCAAGTAAGAATCAATTTGTTAATCCTGCTTTTGAAATAGGTAAGGTTATAAGAGCTGGGAAATACGGAAATCGGAAGTGTTCCACAGTTTCACAGTCCTCGGGAAAAAAGAAAACGGAAAGAAAGAAGTCCGACATCTGAGGGCAAAAACCTAATAAGGGTCACTGCCCGCCTGAGAACGAGATGGACGAGAGTGGGTCGATGGAAGGGGAAACGCTGAAGCGAGTTCAGAAGAGCAGAAGCCAAAATAGTAACAATAGAAAAGAGGTAGCAAAGCAACTGCCCGGCGATGGGAAAGCGACTGCAGTTTCGAAATTAAAGGCGGTTCGTCGATCAGCCGGATGGCCTTACGTTGAACACGGTCGAGGAGAGAAAGAGCGGAATAGGAAGCTCCACTCCATACGTGACTGCAGTATTCAAGCATAGGGCGGATTTAAGCTTTGAATAAAAAGAAAAGATGCTTGGGTGTAAAGAAACGCTTTGCGCAGAATAGAAAACCAACGTTGCGCGCAGCGCGAGAGACAAGTGTGGAAATAAAAGGGGACCAACAGAGAGAAGAATTTATGGATAAACCCAGGAGGAAGAGAGAATTTGTGGAACGAAGGGGCATAGAATCAAAAATCAATTGAGGAGAAAAGGAGGCATGTTTAAGAGAGACTGAGAGGACAGAAGTTTTTGAAGCATTGAAACACGCATGGTTAGTAGAACCCCATGCGGAGATTAGTCCGAGGTCGGAGGCAAAAGAAGCACTAATAACATAACGATCGTGATCGATGTTGGTATTAGCTTGACGGAGTGTGAGGTAAGAAAGAGAACAATGGAGACTGATATCATCGGCAAAGCAGTGGATGGGATCAGAAGTTCGGGATAAAAAATCGTTGATAAATAAGAGAAAGAGGTTGGGAGAAAGTATGGAACCTTGGGGAACATCGGTGTTCACAGGAAATGGCTGAGGTAGGACCCCATCTACTCGGACGGAGATGGTTCGCTTGCTGAGAAAACATCGGAGCCACGATACTAGAGACGGGTGGAATCCGAACGTGGGTGATTTCGACAGCAAACCTTCATGCCAAACGCGGTCGAAGGCCTTTGAAATGTCGAGTAAGACCATGTGAGTTTCTTCGTGATTATTGAGTGCAGTCAACTAGGAATGTAATGTGAGCGTCAGTAAGTCACCCGTAGATCAACGAGGGCGAACTCCATACTGACGGTCATTCAACAAATCTTCGCTTTCGAGAAACGTACACAGCTAGTCGGAGATAATGGTTTCAAACACTTTCGAAGTTACAGATGTGAGAGTAATGAGACGGTAGTTGTCGGGGTCGAAAGGATCACCGCGCTTTGGAATTGGAAAAATAATGGCATTTTTCCATGGTGTAGGGAAAGAGTTAGAATTGAGTGAATAACAGAAAAGGTGGTGTAGAACAGGGGCTAACTCGGGGCACATTTTTAGGACGATAGGTGGAATACCGTCCGGGTGGTTTACAAACATCCAAACCACGAAGAGTTCACCGAACCTTTCTGGTTGTTATGATAGGTAAAACGGAGTGATTGGATGTGTAGGAGGAGAGTTGAGCAGTAAAAGCGGCAGATAAGGTGGAGTTGGAGGCAAATCGGGAAGCGAAGACCTCTGCTTTTTCGTGGGGATCATAACCAAGAGTACCAGAGGAAATGCAAATGGGAGGAAAGCTGGAAGGGCAAAGATGACGTGAAACCGCTTTAGCGATGGACCAGATTGTTCGGTTACCGTTGGCGGAAAAAACCAAGCGCGCAGCTTAGTGAAAAATGAAGCGTTCTTTAGCTCTCTGAATAGTGACCGAGCATTTGTTTCTGGCTTGCAAGAAGCGGTTACGGGATGCTGGATTGGGTGAGTGGCTCCAACAACGGAATGCTGAGTTTTTAAAACGCACAGCACGGTTGCAAACATGATTAAACCACTCAGGGGATTGTGGTTTGTCGGGTTTGGAGAAGTATGGAATATAAAGATACATATCTTGAAGAACAATCTCCGTGAATTTTGAAACACGTGAAAACATCAGATTTAAAACAACAACCCTTCCAGGGAAAGTCACGAAAACCGTCCCAGTTGACTGCATCGGAACGCCAAAAGGTGCGCCTGGAGTTAGGTGATGAAATAGAGTGAGAGAAATGAGTGAGAAAAAAATGAGACAATGGTCCGATGAGCCTAATGGGAAAGGGAAGTGATGTTGGAAAAATAAGAGGGAACGGATGTGAGGATGAGGTCAAGGGTATGAGCGCGGGGATGCGTGTGGGGAGGTCAACTAGTTGACTTGGGTTGTTGACCACAGCAAGAGCCTCGGCTTTACATCCCATGAATGTAGTGTCTGAGGAATGTTTCAGCGATTCCCTGTTGTGGATATTGAAATCTCCGACAATCGTAATTTGGCTGTTAGAATCTGCCGACATTAGTGTCTCAATGTTGGAAGACACAATATCAAAAATAGAAGAATAACTGCTTCTTGGAGAGCCTAAACAATACAAAAATAGTGGTTGAAAGAAGGGAATCGAAGTTTCAGCCACATAAGCTGAGATTCACGGTTAGAGAAATCTAAGTGCGAAAGTCGGGAGGAAGCGACAGAATGATGGTTATAGGCGCCGACACCAGCTTTAGAAAGAAAAGAAGAATAGAGGAAGTAATTAGGGAACTGAAGATGAGTAGTGTCTGACGATGGAAATTGTGTATTAAGTATAACTTTTGCAAGCACTGGAGCTCACATTTCAGTTAAAAAATCATACACGCTAACCGTCACAATGTAAATAACAAACTATGAAATCTTTTACAGACATGAAGATATTTCATACACCAAGGTTAGACAAGGTAAGACAAAGTTTAGATAGCTTGCACTATCAACGATAACTAAGCGCGAATAACCTCAGCGATCCTGGATACGGTGAAGAGGAATACGACTATTGCTGTGAACGGGTAAAAAGACGGTGGACAACGCGTGACCAACGGTTTATAGAGCTAGACCTGCAGCGAAAGGTTTACACGTGCAACGAGGTAGCATGACTCACCGGGACAAGTGACGCTTCCGCGGTTAAGCGTAAACAGGTTACTGCACCTGGTAAAATAAAAGCTTGCTTAGAGTAGAAAAGGAGTCGTAGGCAAAAGGTGAAAGTGGCGTGCTACTACAAAAGTTCACTTATTATCCGCTCTTTGTTTATGAGTACACGAGCAAGATACGGTATAAGTGAATTGCGTTAAGCGTTAATTCGAGATGAAATTTGGCGGAATTGGGAGCGCGTTGAATGATGGGAATGACATCGTATCAGTTCTGCGTGCAATGGGTAGTCAG